GAGTCTCCACATCTTTTCTACATCGTGGCGACCAAAACTGGATGCAAATATTCCAAGTGTGGCCTTACCAGGGCTTGAGACAGCAGTAAAGAGATGCTGCATAGGGAAGAGAGGAGAGAGGGGGGGGGAGGGAGGGAGGGAATGAGAAAGAGAGAGAAAGAAGAAAGAGAGAAAAAGAGAGAAGGAAAGAGAGAATGAGAGAGAGAGAACAAGAAAGAGAGAGAAAAAGAGATAAAGAGAGAAAGAAAGAGTGAATGAGAAAGAGAGTGAGAAAGAGAAAAAGAGAAAGAGAAAGAGAGAAAGAAAGAATGAGGAAGAGAAAGAAAGAGAGGAAAAGAGAGAAAGAAAAAGAAATATAGAGAGAGAAATAGAGAGAGAATGAGGAAGGCAGAGAGAAAGAGAGAGAATGAGAAAGAGAGGAGAATGCAAAAGAAAGAAAAAGAAAGAAAGAAAGAAAAAGAAAGAGAGAAAGAAAGAGAGAATGAGGAAGAGAGAGAGAAAGAGAATAAGGAAGCGAGAGAGAAAGAATGAGGAAGCGAGAGAGAAAGAGAGAAAGAGAAAGTGGGAGGGAAAGAGAAAGAGAGTGAGGAAGAGAGAGAGAGAAAGAGAAAGAAAGGAAGAGAAAAAGAGAAAGAGAAAGAAAAAGAGAGAGAAAAAAGAAAGAAAAGAGAGAATGAGGAAGAGAGAGAAAGAGAAAGAAAGGAAGAGAGGAAGAGAGAGAGAAAGAGAGGAAGAGAGAGAAAAAAGAGAGAAAGAGAATGAGTAAGCGAGAGAGAAAGAGAGAAAGAGAAAGTGGGAGGGATAGAGAAAGAGAGGGAATGAGGAAAAGAGAGAGAAAGAGAAAGAAAGGAAGAGAGAAAGAGAAAGAAAGAGAAAGAGAGAGAAAAAAAGAAAGAGAAAGAAAAGAGGGAGAATGAGGAAGAGAGAGAGAAAGAGAAAGAAAGGAAGAGAGGAAGAGAGAGAAAGAGAGAGAGAATGAGGAAGAGAAAGAGACAGAGAGAGTGAGGAAATTTGGGTAGTCCTTGTCTTATGCCCACAAGGGAGCCCAACAGTTCCATCGCTAAGCGAGACAGTTGTGAAGTGAGTTTCGTTCCATTTTGCAAACCTTCCTTGCCACAGTTGTTAAGTGAATCCCCGCCGTTCTTACATTAGCAGCACCGTTGTTAAGCGAATCCGGCTTCCCCCCCTTGACCTTGCTTCAAAGAAGGCAGCCAAAGTGGGTCAGGTGACCCCCAGGGAGACCGTCATAAATAGTGTCTGAGCGTCCAAATTTTGATCCCGTGATCACGGCGGATGCTACCACCGTCCTAAGTGTGAAAAACGTTTGTGTCTCCTACCACGGCTTACTGGAAGTCAGAAAATGGGCCGTTTCCGGCCTCCAGGGGTGGTGGGGGAGACGGGGGAATCCGCTTTTGCCCTCC